AAATTATAATTATTTATATATGTTAATTTAAAAAAATATTTATAAATCTTGTACATTTTATCCAAGGAAAATTACATTTTGAAAGCTCATTCGTGGTCTGAAATTATAATAATTTGGATCATAATAGATAAACCTTAATTTTTTTTAACAAATTATAATTATTTATATATGTTAATTTAAAAAAATATTTATAAAATTCAAACACATTACCCATGAAAGATTAATGATTATAACCCAAAATTATATTAAAAATTAATTATTTAAAGTATAAAAGTACGAATTTTATATTTAACTAATAACCTGCACTCCGCAATGTGTAATGTGTTTACAAATAAATTGGGATTTTTCTAGTTATATCTCAAGGCCATAGTTTGAGTGTAATATATATATTTTTTATTGTAAATTTATACAAAAAATAAAATTTGAGCTTTAATTTATTAATTATTTTGTTAAATTTATTCACTTAATAATAATATTAAAATTAATAATTTTTATATTTTTATATATTTATAAAAAAATTTATTTTGTAACCTAAATTATACCAAATAATTAAATAAAAATTATTAAATAAAAATTTTTTAACATTAAAAAATTTAATCTCTATTTAATAATAAATATAATATATTTCAATGGAATTTAAATTATACTAAACCACTACAATAAATAAAATCATAACTTGCATTCTTAAAGTTAAATCACGTATTTGAAAAACCTACTCGTAAATAACTTGACATGGGGAAATTAAATTCCTCGGACACCGAAAACCAAGGTGTTTCCTCGTGCCTCGTGTGATGCCAGACTGGAAAGTGGAAACCAAGGCTTTATGGTGAATGTGTCGACGAATTTCTCCTTTTTTTTATTGGACAAGTGATTGGACTCTTGGCCTACATGCACAGCCGTAAGTGACGAGTCAGGATTCGTTGAGGCGGACCAAATTTTTTGCACAGGAAAATGAGATAAGGAGGCTCTAATAGTGTTTGGGAAGAATCAAAACAATATTCATAAAGGTCTTTTTTTTTTTACTTAGTGAATTTTTTTATTTTTTTAAAAAGTTAAAAAATCAATTAAAAATAAAAAAATTTAATATTTTTGTAATATTAACTTACATCAATGATAAAAAAAAAAAATAAATATAACCACTTAATAGTTTGTTTTGTGTTAAAGATAAAGTTTTTATTATTGACATAATAGAAAAAATGACTAAACAACGCAAACAATTGAATAATCTAAATTGATTTTAAGCCTAGTAAAGAAAGCAATTTAGGGTTTTCAAGCAAATAGAGGCTGAGGAAGATAGGAAAGAGGAGATGTGTAAGACATTTATATATTTTTTTTAATCAATTTTTTGTAAAAAAATTCAAAATTTTTTTTTACCAACCATGAAGTTTAGAGATTAAATTTTTTTTATATTTAATATATCACTAATAGTTATGTCAATGTTGAGTTTAAATTTTACTAGGGTAATTAATACAAGGAACAATTATGAATTTTTTAGCAACTCATGATGATTATTATCAAAAAGGTTAGGAATATTAGTTGAAACAAAATAAAAATTTTGGAAAAAAAATGTCTCATATTTAAAAGATCGATGACTAGTGATAGAATTTATATTTAAAATTTTCAAAAATTTAGAGTTGTATTGAATTTTTTCCAAAAGCTCAGGAGGGACCACGACGCCCGTCTGCACGTGGCTCCACCCACGTAAGGGGTGCTAGGTAGGTAGGGGTGGGATAAAAAATTTTGCAACTAAAAAAAATAAAAAATCGAGGAAATCGTAGTAGGCAAATAGGGTTTGACTATATTTTAGATTTGTTTGATTAAAAATAAAATTGAACTAATTTTAAATAATTTGAGTTTTGGTTGTTAAGTGTAAAAATAAAAGAAAAACCAACGATTAGGGTGAGTATAACTAAAAAATTTAGTCCAAAAATCTTTGATATAAATTTTTAATGATTTCTAGATTTTTTTTTTTATGGTTTTCTATCAACTTTTCACTAAATTAATTATTTATTTGGGTAATTTTTAGTCTTTTAGTGATTGAAATTAATAAAATAACAATTAAGAAATTCAAAAAAAATTAAAAAAATATAAAAATAATTTTTTAATTAAAGCCAAGACCGATCCCAATGATTACTTTTAAAAATGTAACTAAAATCGATAAAACTCATCCTTCTTCTTTTGGGTAATGGTTACTAAAATTTAAAACTTAAAATTTTAATTAACCAAATTTGGTTGTAACCGAACGTACCCACTTTAATAGGTAGCTCCCATAATAAAAATGTTCATTATTTTCATCCTTATCTATATCATACTATTTTAATCATTTTTTAATTTTTCTTTTTCTTAAAGGATTTTTCTAACATTTGCCCTTAATAAGGCATTAGTTAATAATACTTTTTTTGGTCATAAATATATATAGAAAAATGTAAAAGTAAATATTAATTTTAGTATATGTGCCAAGTGAATGCATTTAATTAGATAATTGATAAATTGAAAATCAACTTTTGTTTTTTAATATAAATCTATGACGAAAATATGTATTTATTACATTTTTAATCTGTACTTTAAAAAGACAAGTTAAAAAAACCCAGTCAAAGATTACTATGATGAGAAAGATGAAAACTGTATAAAATATGAGAACAAAATTAGACAAAACCCTATGTCAATCCTCCAAACTTACCCAAACTCTTGATTAAACTCCTCAACTTTTATTGAAGCTAATAAGCCCATGAATTTGATAATTTAGACAATTTAACCCCTTTTTTTTTAACTTAACACATGTTTATGCTTTATTTAGGTGGACAAAGTCAATACCCACTACATAAGCAATGATATGTCAATATCTTGCCTACGCGACACACAAACGGGCATTAAATCCTCCACAAATAAAAGAAAAAGGGTTAAATTGCCTAAATTACAAAATTTAAAGGCTTATTTGTTTCAATAAAATTGAGGGGATTAATCAAGAATCTGGGGTAAATTGAAGGGCTTAACACAGGGTTTTGCCAAAAAAATTAAGATTAATTTGTTAAATATTATTATTTTAAAAATTAATACCCTTTGTTTACTAAAATCGTTTTATTTGCTCTAGTTATAACTAGAGATTTTGTTAAGCCCACCAAAATTCTACCAATATTCCAACTTTGCTCTCATCACTTTTATGTGTATTTTCAATTTAATTGTGTGAATAAAGAAGTAATTTAACAAAATAAAAGTAAAATATTGATGGCATTAACAATATCTTGATGGTCATAACTGGAGCCCTTCTTATTATTATTATTTTTTCCATTAGTATTCTTCTAGCTACTCAATATATGTTTATTCTCTTCTTTAATTAATGACATTTAATACTATATTCTCAAATTATTATTAATTTATTATTAAAAATTTACAAAATTTATTTAAGAGTTTGTCTATCCTATACCCT